ACGACGAACAGATGGCTGGATGGGGCGGTGAAAACTTGGAAATGTCCTTCAGAATTTGGCAATGTTAGTAAACATTTTGTTAATAACTTCTCTTATAAATTTACTAATTAACTCAATAGTGCGCTCGACGGTATAACCCTTGTTATTACAGATAGTGACTTTATGTGCGTGTCAAAGAGGTACAACCAAATTCAAATAATTTCAACAAATAAAGAATAAAAAGAACTAAAGTTAAACGATGATAGATCATATTTAATTTCTTAAATACATGTTTGTTAAACTTTTATTGAGAATTGCTACTAGAAAAATCAAAGTATGATTTTTCAGAGTCCCTGGTCTCAACCAAAGTTAAATATGAATTCCGATTTCATGTCAAAAAAAATCTCCCTGAAGAACAAGACATTTACGATAACATCTGTACTTAAGGAAAAAAAAAACTATAAGAACAAGCGTTGCTTGGACAACGTCTTAAGCGTCACTGTCAAAAGTTAAACGAAAGCTGTCATTACAAGCTTACGCAAACGCACAGACGACTTGAACTATCCATATTATGCATGATTTATTGTTAGTATTATAGGAATTTGAAAATTAATTACGTATTGAATAGTTAAAAAATATTCACGTACACTACTGTTCACTAGGTGGTGGCACATTGGAAACTATCCCGTGTTCAAGAGTTGGTCACGTGTTTCGCAGTTTCCATCCTTATGGGTTGCCTATGCATACGGACACACATGGTGAGCTAAATAATAATATATGAATCTTTAACTACAGCACACATAACTTCATGCTTCTATAACTAAAGTACACATAACTACATGTATGTATAACTACAGTTCTCACAACTACATATTATTTCTATAACTACAGTATACGTAACTACATGTTTCCATAATTCATTGATAAAAATATAATCATATAATTGAAACGTCATTTCATCGTCATTAAAATGGGTTTTATTTTATTTTTAATTGTTTTTTTCTAATGTTTGGATACAGGTATTAACACGGCGCGCATGGCTGAAGTGTGGATGGACGAGTATGCGGAACTTTTCTACTTGCATCGTCCCGACTTGAGGGTAAGATATAAGTATATTGCATTATGAAGATCTGAAAACTCAAAACTTTAGGTGTTTTGGTGTGAATCTAAATATAAAAAAAAATGATGATGATGAATTTGAAATTAAATCAGCCAAAACTAATGAAACAGTGACGTTCTACCCAGCTTGTAAATACGAATGTGCTGATAATTTTTTCCATTACATCGGGCCTTACTAAGATCGTGCTATGAACGTATCAAATACGAAAACAAACGATGCTGTCTATTTTTCCATAGACCGGATCAACTGCGTTCTTTGCCCGTTTGTAACCCATCTAATACCCGTTCAAAACATAATGTTCTTTGATTGATTCATATATTATGAATAGCACGAGATGACTCTTAATCGACAGTAAACACACTGGAGCGTGCCATGCACGAGTCTTTCTTTTACGGAACGGAACTAGTGCAGGGGTTGGCAACCTTATGAAATGGAAGAGCCAAAAACAAGACTACATTAATTTACAGTTTTTAAAGAGTCACTAATAGATTTTGTTTCAATATTGTTAATATTACATTTGAGATTAAATCTATAAAATTTAGTAGTAAAATCGGCGATTTAACGATATAGAGCTCTTTTTTCCAGGCAACATGAACCAGACAACGCACACGGCAAGAAATATATTCGAATATATATATTTCTCAGTCATAGTATATATTTTAATCATATTATAGTATGGGCATTCAACATTCACGGATCGATTATACGATTTTTATAGGGTTTCAATAGAAAACATTTTTTTTTGTAAATTGAACTCATAAGTCGAAAGAGCCGCCGAGCCGCAGGTTGCCGACCCCTGGTCTAGTGCGTGTCGTTTCATACAATTCGACACCAATTGATTTTTTCCTTTTAGGCACATTCCCACTACGATAATGGTATAATACGTTGCAAACAAAATATAACTTTAGTGTTTGAACAGTCACCCGGATTGTGAGATGCTATGTGCTCGAATCCTATCTATGGCACTCACCTTGGACTGGTGAAACTTTTAAGCATTTTTTTTTTAAAGATAAATAATAACAATAAAGCATTATTTATTAATAAAGAAAGCAGAAACTCCATTTATAATAAATAAAGTTTGCTTTTGTACCTTTACACAATGTAAAATGAATATTATAGCGTTTTAGCAGTTTTTTTAGGAGCCGTTGCATATAAGATACAGGAGAGGGGTAGAGGGGGCTGTAGGTGTGAAGCGGGAGTGACAAACTGTCAACGGCAGTGTGCGCGTGCGCTTTGCAAAGGAATAACGTATTTTATGTGTCGTGAGGCCTAAAATGTCTTCCAAAAAGTGCAAAAATCCCGTGGACTCTTTTTCTTATATTTGCGGCGAATTCATTAAAGTGAGAGCCAAAAAAATTTGTTTGTCGTCAAATACAAGACTTTGTGAAGCCTATGAAGTTTATTTTAATTTACCCGTACGAAGTCAAGATAAAGTATGGGCACCTCATTTCTCATGTAGTAACTGCAAAAACACTTTAGAGGGTAAGAAAGTACATCATACTTTTCATTAAAATTTATATATATAAATATATCTATTCTGACACATACATTAAATGTGTCATTCGTTATTGAATAATGTTAATTTTTTTCCAGCCTGGTACCGAGGAGAAAAAGAAAGGATGAATTTTGCAGTACCAAGAATATGGAGGGAACCAACTGACCATATCCATGATTGCTATTTTTGTGTTGTAAATCCAAGTAAGCGTCGCGCAGGTACAAATGCCAAAAAGATTGAATACCCAAACATACCATCAACGTCATCAACATCAACTCTGCGTCAAGACTCTGAGGCCTTTCAATATTTAAAATCATTTTTCCCGAAATTGTCAGAGGCTAAAATTAATGCTGGTAATTTCATCGGTCCACAAATAAAAAAAATTATGGCCAGTGAACAATTCCTACAGCTCTTCAGTACCTACGGAAAACAAGCGTGGCTCAGCCTTAAAGCAGTGATTCATGGCTTTCTTGGCAACAGAAAGGCAGAGAATTACACGAAGCTTATTACTGATATGCTTCACACCTTCAAAGTTATGGGTTGCAGAATGTCTTTGATTGATCTAAAATCATAAGTGTTCTGTTTTCATCAATAGAATAATCCCAAGATCGGTGACGTCACCCATCGTAAGATTCTTCGCGAGAAACTCAAGTGCAAGAGTTTCCAATGGTATTTGGACAACATTTATAAGGAAAAATTCATTCCTGTACGTGACGTGTACGGATACGGCAGGTACACATTTAAATTATTGCATATGATAGCGTCTTTACCTTATTCACTTAAATTTTTCTCTTGTTATTAGGTTAAAAATGGTGACCATTGCTTATTGGTCTCTAAAATAATAGCGCCTAAAGTAAAAAATAAAGAAAATAGGTAAAGAACTTACCTACCGATTACAGGAGAACTTAGTAGAAGTTTTTATTTAATACTAGCTGACCCGACAGACTTCGTCCTGTCAAAAAGATTTGTAATGTGGCAGTTTTTTTGCCTACGTATTTAAAAAAATTCTCCTGAACAGAACCGTCACCCTGGTGATAGGGCGTTGTGAATAAAAAATAATTAAATAAAACATATATAAGGATTTAAAAGTAAGTAATCGCTTTATTGTTAATCATGTGAATCATAATTATTATTGCAATGTATTAATAGTAATAGTATTAAATATAGAAAAAAGAGATTTTTATGATCATAAAAACACATTACACACAACAGCATTATAAAAGTAAACTATTCGAATTAAAAAAATATATAAACATTCTCAAGGAAAAATGCTGGAAGAATCCATCTACCTGTACCCCGGAATGGGACTCGAACCCATTCGCGATCCAGGGACTGCTCTAACCAATGAGCTATCTAGGACCCAACAGCTTTGCTACTACAGAGCGTATTTTCATCAATGTTCCGGCAATACATGTAATGACGTGGAAACTGATGCATTTTATCTCGCGTGCCGAAACTAATACAAAAGAAACGCGAGTTTCGGAACGCGACATTAAACTCCTCCAACTATGTATTCTGTGCTCCAACGCACACACGCACATTGTTTTGTGATAGATATGATCTTTGACGTTAGGAACACACCTACATTGCTTAGACAACAGTGAGTGCTTGTAATTTAATATGAACTTTATACCATAGCAATAAAGCTCAAATTGACTACGTTTTAGTTACAAATCATTTGTATGGGAAAAAGAAAAGGGCTATTTTTAGGGTTTTTCCAGCAATAATTCTAATTTTTCTCGCCGTAAAAACCATCCTTGAACTTCAACGAACATTTTAAAAAAAGATTTGGCCAAATTGGTCGAGGCGTTGTTGAGTTATGCGCTTACCAACACATTTTGCGATTCATTTTTATATATATAGATTTGTCGTCTTTGCGCACTAGTCTACCTACTTACTACCTTTGTCGGTATATCGACATATAAAAATAGACGGTCTGTTGCACAAACGTCTATTATGGTTTAATAACGCCTTTAGGCTCTAATGAATGTCAAATTATATCGGTAATCTCGCATTAAACTAATGGCAATTTTAATGGACGGTTGTGCAACTGGATGAGATATGTTTAAATACAAAGATGATATAATTTCATTGTCAATGATCAATCCTTCCAGACACCAGTTTTTATTGCGTTTAATAGACTCCAAAACTTCAGGATCGATTTTTTTTCACCTACAGAAAGCAACATCCTACACGGTTGACATAGGCACATTAGGCCTGTCCTGGGGAGCCTCCAAATGGGCTGCCGCCATCCGCCAATATCATAATAAAGTTAAAAATGTATGCGCTGGGGGGTGTAAACGCAATATCAAGTTTCTCCCCTAATTGGAAAAAATGTAGAAAAAATTATACTTTCACGACTAATACGAAATTTTTGTTCTCAGATTTGTGAATCCAACAACGAATATGTGTTTGGACACGTTACAACGTGATGGCGTCGGTTCACCGTTAGGTGTTTATCCTTGCCACGAGAAACTGCAGGCCACCCAGTACTTCAGCTTGTCTCTTACTGGAGAACTGAGGGATGAGGAGAATTGTGCAGAAGTGCAACATGTCAGGTGAATAATAATTTAAATCTTCTTTTTAGCCAAGTGGCGGAGTTTACCTAAGGCTACAGGTGGCCTAGGGTGGCCAATTATGATAATGGCTGGGCAAAAAAAAAATTAAATTCTATTTTGCTCCGACGATCAGACGATACAAAATATAATACTATTTTTGCTTTAATTTTATTAAGAAATGGCTTAGACAATAGGCATTAAAGTTGCAGAGTGGGGGCTGGCTACGTCACAACTATCGCCATAATTAATTGATTACGAAAAATTATGGGTTTAATATTCTTCAATAGTCTAACCTGACGAACAGATAAAAAAAATGACATTATCCCTATTGTAATTTTATATACAGATATTCTTAATGAAAAATGCTTAGTAAATCCACTTGGTCCTGGCACCATGAGATGGGTTTCGAACCTATGACCTTTCGCAATCCGGGCGACTGTCGCTCGCGTGCATTCTTTTAAGCATTTTTTGTTAAGAATATTTTTCAGTTTAGCATTACGCAACTTTCACAAGAGTCGATCATGGGATGGTTGTCCCAAAAATTTTAATACTCCGTGCTTCGGAAGGAACATCCATAAGGAAGGCCTGTGCCACAGCCTTCCTTATGGTTAAGAAGGATGGGGACGTACAAGGGCTAATGAAGATATAAGATTACTTTGTTATGAACAATGAAGGAGGGCGACGTGATTTTATTTACATACTGGAACATAAAACAGATTGTAGTCATAAAAAGTAAACACATATTTGACAATATAATTTATATCTTGTTTGTATAACAAAACTAATTATGTCTCAGCTATTGAATGGGCAACTACGTAGATTGTATTGATATTTTTTGATAACTGTTTTTGTCTTAAATACTGACATTATCGAAAATCAAAAAGATTTATCTACATACCAGCCAACTCATGAGATTAATTTTTAAACACATAAAAAGATGACAAATTTTGTGGTTATTCTGGCCCTGGAGGTCACGTGATAGATTTGAAATTTAAATTTCGAGGTTACTATTTAACAGGTGACAAAAAATATTAAAAAAAAAACAAGTTAACTAAGCCTTGTAGGTCACATGATGTGTTGGAAAGACGATTGTGAAGCGTTACGTAGCAACTGTCTTGAATTTCTAATTTATTTATTTTTAATAGATAGTCGTAAATCTTTTATTAGTCTTCCTCCTTTCGTATATCATAGACATATCATTTTTTACAGGACAATGCGGAACTATTTTGCCACCCAAATAAGGTCCAAATTTTAATTATCTGGATGATCTAGTAGCAGTAGAGAGTGTAGTCGTAGTAGTAGAGGATGACCAAAAAATTATTATCCCGAGCTACTACGTGGTTCCGAAGACACATTAAGCCGTTGGTCCCGGCTGCATTTGCAGTCGTTAATACCCTTCAATCCGCATTGGGCCAGCGTGAATGGTTATGGTCTATCCTCCTTAACCATCCATAAGGAAGGCCCGAACATCTGCAGTGAAGACGTAATATATAACTGATGTTGGATTATCCAGTAATATATTTTATTCTTATTTCTTCTTAACTATGCTTCTTCGCGCTTTGGCGTGTGGTGGGGAGAGTATGTCCCTACTTCCACCTCCCAATTTTATTTTACTGCGAGTATAAGTCTTAATGTATTGCATTAAAGTCTCAGATATTTTTATGGTCTCGGTATTAGTATTCCAAGGAGGTTTAGCTTGCTTAAAGATCTTACTTATAATAAATTGAAAAAGTTTTAATAAGTTTTAACAAATTAGCTCGACTCTTTCTGTTTACCTCGCATAGAATTTGACGCGAAAGTATAGATACCTATATAGAAATGGTAGTACTGTATACTGTTGTGCAGCTTTATGATTTGAATATTCAATTTCGATTATTATTTATATTATCAGGGGCAGCGCTGTAAATAGCGAACGTCGTATTCTAATGATGACCTGTGCTGGTAAACAACGGCAGGTATGTAATATTTTTTGATTTACAGTTGGTTGTATATTTTTAAGACGATGTGAAATTTGCTTTTTGTGGGCAAGTTTTATTCTAGCGATATTATAATATTTGTGAAAGTATTAAATCAAACAAAACACATAAAATCTTTCTAGACTTATTTCTGGAACTAAGCAGACGAATAGACGCCATAACATTTGGTCCTACTAGCTAGATATGAGCTTTTGAAACCACAATGACTAATTTCTTAATTATTGTATAACACAAAACATGTGTATGTACCACCACACGGGCCCAGTGCGGATTGTTGGGTGTTAACGACTGCTGATGCAGCCATGACCAACGGTTTAAAATTATTTTCGAAGCTTGGAGGAGCTCGAGATCATACATTTATTGCAAAAGTTGCTTAAAATGCTAACCACTGCGCCGTCGCGCTTCTCGTTATATACTTAGACAAAAGACAAGTCTATATTATATATTCCTTTGTTTATACGTGTCAGAAATGGCGGTATCTGCCATCTGGTCAGCTGCAGCATATAACGTCCGCTCTTTGTTTGGACGCCGGTATGGAGACCGGCGCGGACGCATTAGCCCGCCCCTGTGATTCTCGAGCCACTTCCCAACGTTGGGCCATAGACTATACACAAGACAACGACTTCAAAGCCAAAGGTAATTCATCCTTTTTTATCGCGAGGGAAAATTTTATACACTATCCCCGTCGCTTGACAGGCGACCAGAGTTGTATAGGACTCCATCCGCACGGACTCACCCGAAGCCTTGACAAAACGCGAATGACATATTATGTGAACCAAATAAGAATAGAATCGGGTTAACTACTGACTTTATGGCATAGCCTACATTTTAGTACTGACAGCAAGTCTCTTAATATTTTTTGGAATCGTGTAGCTTTTTACATTTAATATATTATTAGATTTATTTATCAAAAACTAATAAAATATATTTCTAAAATGGTATCTTAGTCTTTTCTTTATTATTAAATATGAATTTTACTATTTTTATCGCAACATTCACTCAAGCTACCATAAACACGTGGCTTTTCTATGACTTCGGGTTCAACTACAAATGTCAGTTGTATGTATACTAGCATAATGCATTGATTTATAAAAAATAAATAATTTCGCTCCTTTTTCTGCTCACCTTACTTCAACCACACACCTACAGCGCAATGCGAACCAAGATGGCCGTGCGACAGTCCTATTCTGATTTGATCTCTTTTGAGGGAAGGGCTTGGGATTAAGCAGGGAGTGCACCTATATACAGCTCCTGGTGTAATTTATAATTAGCTTATCTCATCATCGCAGCACCCACTGCTGGGGTATAAGTCTTGTTCATAGTCATGGCAACGACGTATTGTCACTTGACAACGGTCGCCAATTCACTGGCCATGTCTATGAAATGCTACCGATTCATTCGACCACCGGTTATGATAGTCGTCTTAATAATTTAGTTTGACAACCGCTTTGGCGTAGCAAAATTTTCCAGTATTCTAAGAAAGTTAGTGAAAACTCAGAAGTATTTTTTTATGAGATTTAAAAAATATTTCTATAAAAATAAAAATATATATATAAAAAATATATTTATATATATAATTCTTATAATATAGATGGTGCAGAGGCAAGTGAACAAGAACTAAGACTAAGCAAACTCCGTGGACAACGGTAAGTTAGACAGTGTCTCTTTGTATACACATTATTTCACTCTTTGTATAAGTAATGTATAAACATTTGCATTCCAATATTCAGTTCATTTAAATATATTGTTAGCAATTACAATCATATTTATAGATGTTTTTAATACTTTTCCCTATAAATAGAAATGTCTTAAGTTTTACCCTAACACCATTAAAATTGCCATTAGTCTTACCGCCTAGCACCCAAACTACATCATCTTTTTCTGGTAGACTGGCAAATTAAGCACATTCATTAGACTTTGAAGTAGTTCTTAGTCATTTATGGACGTTTGTGCAACTGAAGTAACCGTGAGTTTTAAAAACCTTAAAATACAGTTCATAGATTCTTATTAAAGACATATATGTATATTTATAACTACAAAAGCTGTACCGTTTAGAAATATTGTTCATTAAGATGCTGGTAATTACCCGCACCTTAGATGTTTTCATGCATATTCGTAAATGTATTTTTTTTACACTATACAAAAAAAATAATGAGCAAGTGTTACCTTTTAGATTTTGAAAATATGGTTGGTCTGTATCTCAACATCTTGGTTACTGTTGGCTACTTGACGGTTTTAAAAATAAATTAAGTATTTTTGTTTCAAAATTAATAGTGGGTATATTTTAATTTTTCAAATATTAACTTGTAACAGATTACAAATTCTGTGGATTGCAAGAATCGAAACGCGGGCGGCCATGTCAGAGCACCGTGTGATGTCACATTTTAATAAACCATACGTCAACTTCTTGTTGCCAATGCAACTAGTACTCATACTTACAGTCAAGTAGCTAATTATAGTGTACCAAAAGGGCCACCATAGCATACCACTACTATAATATAAATTCCAGATAATTTTTCACATACGTTTTCTAACAGCCGTATATCTCGCTCGCTCCTATCGTACACGGAAGAGACGCCAATAGAATCCAACAGCACAATACGTCGTCACAGACATAAGAAGAAGCACAGCAAAAAGCACGCCCGCAAACGCAGCCACAAGAAGCGTACAAAAAATAAGTTCATATTGAAATTAGTGAGGACTTTGATGAATGACACTGAAGATCATTTAGAAGTCGACATACATTGTAAACATAAGCAGCTATATCCTAACAATAGCTTCGTTAGAGATCTAGTCACTATACTCAACGAAAAAAATATTAAGGTAAGATTCTATTCAGAAACCCATAAAAATCAGTGAACAGGTATGGAAAGATCTATGAAGTCCAAAGACCTGACAGACGTGTGAAGGGATTTGTAATTCAGTCGTTCTAGGCTAAAGCCTAAAGCCGGCTAAAAAGTTATTCATGGTCAAATGTCACTAACGCATCTTATTACTTGGGTGTTTATATTGGTCATTATAAAATTGTTTGTCACTCGATTATCTAAAAGAAATGTCTTTCATTTTTCTGTACTATCATCAAGCGATTTTAAAGTAGAGTGTAGAGAAAGCGACTAGAACGTTTTCTGTATACCGTGCCCCGGGAAACATATACTAATTGTTTTTATAGATAGATAGAAAATAATAAGTATATTTATAGATATATCTTTTTATCTATACCCCAAGATAAAAACTACTTGTTTTTTATTCATCTTTTGGAGTGTAATTGAATAGGAACTTAAAATTATTAAGGTATTTCTGTTATGTCATTGAATTATATTATTAATCATCGCCAGGTTATCAATAATGGACGCGTATTCGAACGGAATAAAGTGACAGAATTGGCTAAGGGAACAGCACCATCAAAAGTGCTTCAGAAATTGGAAATCCGGGAGAACGCTCAAGATCAACCAACAGAGAGGGTGAGTCATCATCATTTTTAGGGTTCCGTATCTAACTGGGTTTGGAAAAGGCGGGGGTCCTTACTGGATCCCGGGTCGATACCCCCCCGGAGGGTACTTGCTGTGAGTTTTACCAGGTAGACCGACCTCACTTAAGCCTGTCCTTTACAGGACCGATGGCGTATTTGCAAAAAACGGTGCCATTCCTTTAATAAAAGGCAAACTAAAGAAGCTCTCCTTTCTATCTGTGTTTTGTCATTTATCTTGATCTGAAGATGTTACTAAACAGGAGAATGGGCAATTTACTATGAGAGATCGACTATTTTTGCGTAACCTTCATATTGTTAAAACCAACGGTAAACGTAGAGAATTATTTCTAGAATGAGTAGGAAAAAATACCATTTTAAAATTATGCCGGACTTTGAACAACAATCAATGACTAACGGATATAAATATTTAATTGCGAAAAAGGACATATCTATATTCTATATTACAAAAAGGAAATATTGGATTTCTTATTGTAAAGGATAAACTCAAAAAGACTGGGCCGATTAAAAACTAGTCTTTGACTAATATATATAATATCTGACAAACATTATTAGAGTTAAAATACTTTAAACAATCGATTTTTTTGATACGTTTACTTAGTTTTCTATAATCGATTAGGCGATCAGCCTTATCGACTCTATTGTTGCATGGTTGAGATTTATCAAAGGTCATATCATGAATCTAAATTAGTTAGTTTAGTAACTGTTTCAACATGGTTAATTTTAAACGCCGCATAATTTTATAATAGTATTTATATAGAATAAATTATAATTAAAGAGAAGATTTTTGATAAATAAATGCATAGTGCGCAATTTGCGTAATTTGAGCCGACTTCTGCCCATTCTCCTTTACTCCTCAAGATAATTATTTCACGGGATACTATAACATGGTTTATATACATTAAAGAATCTTAAAAAAAGAAACACAGCCTGAGAATAAGAACTTAGTGCAACCATGTAATTTTAAGGACTCGAATGAAGGTAGATTTTTATATCTGCAAATAACATCCACCCGCATAAACTTCAGTTCATCATGGCGCTTGCAACAGTGCCCAAATATAGGATACTCGTGAAATATAAGGTACAAAGTAGCAATCCCAATAATTATAATGTTAATTACCATGAAAGTTAAAATAACCTCAGAATTATTTCTTAAGGTAAAAGCGTGGCAGAGTGTGAAGCATAAATATGAAAAGATGGAACCTCTTGCTCCGGAGCCTGAGAAGAAGATTATAATCGAAGACTTCGTGGAGGTGACCACCACAACCGCCGAACCAATGGTAATGGCAAAGACAAAATCTTTATTTAAATAAACTTATTAATGAAAGTGCTTTTGGAATGTCCAACACTTTTTTAACTATCACCCGTTAAAGACGTGTTTTGGCTGATAAAAAGAACTAGCGTTGTATATTATCTCACAAATGTCCCAAACCAATAATAATAATGTTATTTTAATCTTCAAACCTAAATATTTAACTAAAATGTCTACGAAATATATCGTCATAAGTAAAAGCGATATACATGCCATTTACAACCTAGTCCACCTTAAGAACATTGTAACTTGCCACATTATTTGGTTATAAAAATAAACTTAATAACAATTACGAAATTTTGAATAAGTTACATGATTATATGATAAGGAAGGAGTATAATTATTTTTTCCATGGTTGATTGTCATCACATCTCTTTCAAAATGTTGTTTAATCGGTTTGCTACTCGCTCACATACCCTATTTTTATATTTGTACTGAATAGCAAGCGTATACATAAGGTTACAGGTTCGATTATATCTCGGGCATCTGAAATTGTAAAATGTACGTAAAAATCTATGTTAAAATAAAAAAAGTTAATACATTATTTATTATTCAGCGTTTAGCCAAACGTCGCAAGCGTAAGCGAATGCGTGTCTCTTTGCCGCCGATAACTCCTACCGAACCGAGCACTCCGAGCGAAGCGCCAGTCAACGAGATAGTGGACGATGCTGACAATACTGTTGATTTTGAAAGAACAAATAATAAAGAGGACAGGTGATATATAAATAGACCTATTCTATTCCTGGGACAAGCGAAAATATTGATATTGACCTAATGTATTATGTGAATGATAAAAGCAAACGATACATATGACTGACCATAGAAATCACTTCCGCGAAGTATTGCGAGTTTTTGTGTTTATTACATACGGGATCAGGTTTGCCATCTGTCGTGATGACTTTTTTAAGTCTTAACTGGCTTAATAATTATGTCCGGCTTGTACGACTCTTGTTAGGCTTTTGCTCAAATGCCAAATGATGACTAAAATAAAACAGATTATTGATTGTTATTGTGTGATTAATAAACAACTATTACTTGTAACAAATTTTTATTGTGATGTAAATTATTATCATAAAATTAAAAACTTATAACAAGTGTTTTGTTTCGGTGGTTTTGATTGGCTATTAAATATAATGAAGTTCAGCTTTTAGAGAAAGATATCCGGCCTAATACAACGCAAAGTCAGGCTTTTTAATTTTGGAACCCTTTACGAGATGTTGTTGATATTGATAACGAGTTCTATGGCTAGCGATATATATCGCTTGTTTAGTTTTAACACTCACATAATGCTTTAGATCATTGTCCGGTTTTTTGGCCTGACATAGGAATATACTATAGATAAATTCTTTATTTACATCATTTTGCACATATACAATTAATATAAAATACAGACTGTAGTAAATTAGGGCGTCGCTACGATGCAAATAGGCGAAAATTCAGTTATTTATCATTTGCAGAGAATATAATAAGATAAGGAATATAATAACAATAATACATTCTATTAATAAACAATAGCTTTTAACAATTGACGACCTCTGTAGCCGATTGGTTCGCATGCCGGTTTCAAGGTATCACCGTCTGTGTTCCCTGGTTCGATTATCAGTCTTGTCAATATAAAAAAAGGCTATTCGATCTGAATGTTGTGGTACCTTTATTGTCTCGGATATTCCATTATAAGGGTGCTTTAGCTACTCATCTTGGAATTATACCAATGTATATGATGTTATTTAATATTTGTATACTTAATATTTCGTTATAAAAATCATTTACACAATAATGTAGTCTTATAGACTTGCTAGAATCATACTATCGGTTATTTGAATATTGATTCGATAATCGATACATCGGCAATAATTTATAAAGCGTCTTTTGTTTTGATTAAATATTATAAATTAAATTAAATTTCAAATAATCTTCGTAGAATACAAAAGTTGTACGAAGAAGACACAATGAAAAACCCTTCACTGGAAGAGACCGGCTCTGGTGATGATCGCGAACACGAACCGGTGAACGTGATCGAGAGTGAGAACGACGCTGGCTCCGGAAACGAGGACTGGGCCATGGGTGAGTGCCGTCTGTTTCGATCCTTTTATTGTTAGACGAAAAATATCGACTATAGCACGGTCGGCGAACAGAGGAATAAGATAGTTTCAGTAGTGAAAAATAAGTTACGAAATTGCACAATTTTACATCTTAATAACTATAGAGATTCCGATTTTTAGTCCAAAACTCGCACGATTATCTTAAAAGATTTTTTTTATCTGTGTGTCACGTGATTTTAAAAACGACCCCCATTATGTAACGTCACTATGGCGACAACTGTCTGTTAAGATGAAATATATGCCTGTAAATTATAAATGGAATTCCTAGGTAGCGCCGTTCTTAGCTCATTTGTATCTTTTCATTTCGTAATCGATCGTTAGATGGCATTGTTCTTGTTTTATTGACATCTTTTAATATTATACTCCACTCATCTGTTTTGAGCATAGAGTTAAGGTTTTGTATATATATCACAATGACGTCATGAATATACCTACAGCATTTTCGCGGGCATATAAAAAGTTTAAATTTCTATTTAAAGTTACATCAATTAAACGTTTTTAAACTTTATTTTTCTGAAAATTTAAACAATTACTAGTATTATTCCAAATAGAGTAGAATACCCTATTTTGTACGTTGACCTTTGGGGCTACTGATAGATTAGAATTTTAGATAGAAGTCGCATCGCATTTTAGATTCACTTTACTGTGACTAAAATATTAGATGCATCTGTGTCAGCGCAATATGTGTTAGGAATTTGGGACATTGTTGATGTTTGGGGACTTGAAGTTTTTAGTGACGAGTTAATAAAAAACTGTAAATACAAGAATTCGATATTATCGAGTTCATCCCTAATTGATATAGCCGATGGTCATTGTTAAAAAAAAGAACAAGCTTTCAGAAAAATATTAATTCATCGACAAGATGAACGCGAGTTTGAAAATCACGAGTTTTTATTTAAATTATAATGAACTGTCTATTATGCTGTATATTTTAATATATCTATCGCAATCATGTAGAATAAGGCCTTCGTTGATCCGTGGTCGGCACTCGAGGACTCTACTGTCCCATCGATTATCTGTCCTATAAACAATTTTCCCTGCCAATTACCACTACACACTCGCAATTCTTCAACCTCGATCAATCTTTAGTTCGTCTGCGAATTTCTTCATTTCTCTTTCGCAAAGACACTAAGCACAGTCCTCTCCATCGCCTGTTATCTGAATAAAATGTAATTATTCGCTATCCGGTCGCATATAATAAAAGCAGTTGAATACTAACCCAATATTCGTTGCAAAACTAATCTAAAAATAAAAATTCTTATCTTTTTAACAGGAGAATCACGCTTCCGCAACGGTAGACGAAATTTCCATGAAGATATAAGTAAGGCAAGTATTGCACTACTATTTAGACGAGTTAACACCTGGCTAAAATGACTTTTGTGCAAAGTACGGTGTGCAAAAAAATGTAATTTCAAATCGATTTCTCTTATCTGTATGTAAGTTGAACTTTATTGTAATATTGTTTTATCTTATAGCCGTCACAGGTATACGAAGCGTCAGGAGATCGTGTGGAACAATCTAATCGTGAAACTGATCGTATACGGTATGAACCATCGCGGTCAGATCGTACAAATGCCGAAGGGAAACTGGTCAGGCACGAAATCAGACATGTCACAGGTGAGTAAGTAGACTTATCGTTTAAACCATTGGTCGCTTAAAGAAAATTTACATAATAGGAGAGAAAGTATCATATTAAGACGCGTTAACTTATTTTGGACGATTAGTAGTTTAAACCTGGCTAAGTTAGTCCTTGTTTTATAATAAAACGTTTATTGTATTTTAAGGTCCCTTGTGACATTTTCGTTAAGTAACGAAGAAATAGGTGGGCATATTTCTAATTACTGAAACGCAACTGTTCTTGCTATTAGCTTGCTATTTAGCTTCTATAACCATCAAGGCCCTTCTTACATTATAATACTAACAATAGACGATACTTCGCGTATCAATATACAACATACCTAAATACTAGTTCGCTACTAATGTACGAATTACCGCTATTAAAAACTTGAAAAAAAGTATAATTTGCATATGAAGTGCACTTTGTTAATATTTATTTCATATTGAACTGTTGTTCTACCGCCATTTTGTTGAGATTCGACGATGACACGTCGCGCGGCGATTGGTGCGGCAAAGTGTGTGAATCGTAACACAAATATACCCGTGAAAGATTGTAGCAAAACGTAATTTGCTTCCCTCCAATGCTACCGAGGTCCCTATAGGTAAACCATTTAACTCGCGGGACGCCTGCGGGGCTAGAGGTAGGTGGGCGCGGAGGAACTCACAGACGTTTCGGAGGTGAAGGCGCGCGCGCGCGGCAAGGAGCACAAGTGACGTTTCTCAGTACGCTTACAGCTCTCGCGGCGTGCAGTCGGCTTTTTGCTTACGGACGCTCGGCACAAGATCTATACGAGGTTATTTTTCCTGAGATATTTTCCAAGATGAACGCTGAAAGACGGTCCAAAATTTTAGCTAAAAAAATTAACAAGCAAGCTAAACAATCAGTATACAATGTTTAGTTTTTCTTTCAACAAAGAAAACAAGATCAAACTTCCACGGAATTTTTACAAGATGTAAACCTGCACAAAATCGTCGCCCAAGCAACGCAAATATCACTGTCTACTGTGAGTAAAATCATCAAAGAAGGAAATGATCTGAAACGCGACCAGAGAAGTGTAGTATTTAAATCCCCAAGAAGTAAAAAACAGAACCGAACTAAAATAATTGAAATAGATAATTTTACTGAAGGTGTCATCAGACGAAAAATAACTCAATTTTATACTATCTACAAAAAGGTACCCACATTAAAAACACTAAATGCTAAACTTAAAGAAGAAGGAATTTTAAACTGTGGTCGAGAATATTTGAGACAGTTACTGCATAAACTTGGTTTTAAATTTGAAAAATGTCAGTCAAAAAGAAAGCTGCTTGTTGAGCAACCAAATATTATTTCTTGGAGATGGAGATATCTAAACGCGATAAAAAAACATCGACGAGACAAGAGTTCTATTGTTTATCTTGATGAGACATACGTAAATGCGTCTTTAAATGTTCCATCGTGTTGGCAATCTGCAAAAGAACGTGGAGTGCTGTCACATAGGCCGAGGGCCGAGATTAATTATTGTACATGCAGGTGGCCAAGCTGGTTTTGTAGAAGGAGCTCTATTAATTTTTAAATCGAAAAGACAAACCGGAGATTATCATAATGATATGAATTTTGTAAATTTTAATAAATGGACCAAAGAGAAATTATTGCCAAATTTACCTCCAAGATCTGTAATCGTTATGGATAACGCTGCCTATCACTCAGTGCAGGAAGATAAAAAGCCAACGATGACCAACACAAAGGCTAACATGCAGGCCTGGCTGCAAAGACATAATGTCGAATTTGATAATTCCTTACGAAAATGTGACCTGCTTAAGCTGATTAAGCATAATGGTTCTGAAAATGTTTATAAGATTGATGAATTGCTCAAAGCTGCGGGTCACGAAGTATTAAGACTTCCCCCCTACCACCCAGACTTAAATCCTATTGAGTTGGTTTGGGGGGATATCAAAGGTCAACTGGCAAGAAACGAACTGGACAGTAATTTAGATAATAAGAAGATTGCACTAGAGCAATTATTCAACGAATTTCCAGCAGAAAAATGGGCAGCATGTGACAATCATGTCCAAAAAATTGAAGATGAGTATTGTAGTCACGATGGACTACTCGATAATGCTATGGACCAAATAATAATCAATTCACAAGATGACTCGGATTCGTCCAACTGGATAGAAGAAGAAACAGAAGATGATTCAAGTGTCATGGACATCAGTGAAGAAGAAAACCTGTAAAATAAATATATTCTTAATTCTGATCATAAATAATATAAATATTAAAATAAATAAATAAATATGTTCCAAAATAAGTAAATATGTTCCAAAAACATTTACTTTTATTTTATATGTAAGTGAAATGAAATGACAAAGTTAATTATTTATTTTGCATCCGAGTAAGATATCTCGGGATTTATCTCGAAACAAGTCATTACGTGTGTACCGATACCCGCGCCCACCTACCTCTTACCCCGCAGGCGTCCCGCGAGTTAAATGGTTTGCCTATAGTTGAACTCCCCTCCCGCGCTCAAACTGCTGTCGCGACAGCTCGCGCGGTCCTCCGTTTGTATGGTAATAACATTACATACCTTTATTATAATTGTAACGTTTTATTGGCTTGAAACCACTACACAGAGACGCGTCCCCGGCCTAAAATGTTAGAGTACCATAATATAAGAAGGGAATT